GCGCAGAATCTCTCCTGAGTAGAGACTATTCACCTGGATAGCCTCATTCCCTAATAAAGATGTTCCGCAAGAAATCGAAATATTTGAAGTAAAAACTTTTTCGACATTAGAAAAATTACTTCATTCTTACAATGAATATTCTATAGTTATTGACAAAAGAAACTATGGGTCATGAATAGTTTCAACAAGTCAACTGACAAAACTGAGTCAAATAATTGGTGGGGTTTCTCTCTCTCTCTCTCTCTCCTTTAATAAATATATGAAGCAAATAAAAACCTTTTCTGAAGAATGAAGTTCCCGGTTTAAACATGTCTTGGATTCTTTTTATGCCATCTTTTGCGCGTTTCATGGTGGCAAAGGTGCACTGTTGTGCCACTTCTTCTAAGAATTGATCGGTTCTTTCATATTCAAGAAACCGGTTTATTTTCTTTATTTCCGACAGCAAATCCTAGAAAAAAAGTACATATTTGTCGAGTTTACACTGAAAGGAAACTGCTGTCTAATTATAGTGATGAATACTTTGAAATAATGCAACCCTTTAAAAGACTGTTTGAACTTTCATGATAAAATACATATTGTTCACCGGACAAAAATAACACGGGTTCTGAATCGTTTTAAGTTGCGTCGGCAACTGGTTGCCGAGGGCAGAACGCAGACTGTCCATCGGGAGGCTGGCAAAGCAGATGGAATACAGGTGCACACATGCCTGTTGCCAGACAAGCGATTGCCTGAGTAGTGCATTTTGTCTAGAGAGGCCAATACAATAGAGCGCCAACGTGAACTCCGTGTCTATTCTGGCCCAGTGGAGACCTTTACTGTTACCAATTTTAATTAAAATATTAAAATATGGGTTAAAGCCCAAATATTATGTCTTGATTCCCGTGTATTCCTTATGTATATAGATCATATACAGGTTAAAATAGGACTTATTTTTGTCATATAGATATTGATAATTAAAAGTCCAATATTTGATGCTCCAGTAGTAAACTTACTTTTTTCATGTCTTCGTAAGTCAGAAACAAGCAGTTACGATTGCCACTAGCTGCCTCAAACCATTCTTTGGTGTACTCAAACCATGAACTTCCCGCAACTATCATAAATAAATAAATAAATAAATAAATCTGCATATCAATCACATCAGATCTGTTTCAGTTTATTTATTTATTTTTTTTTTTTTTTGAAAAAAAAGTTTGACAATCCATATTTTCTTTACCTTTTCCTTCCAAGAAAAGCGGGAAAAATCCGTCCCAAGTCCCACTGTATTCATACAGCTTACAAGCGTTTTTAAAGGCACAGAAGGACGCGGCCACATCTTTCGGGTTTCTGCTGACAATGATGACCTTGATGTTCTTCTTCCATGCATCATATGGCACAAATCTCTTCGGCATGTGTGTAATCAAGATTCTCGGTGACGGCATGTTGTTGATGACGTCTTGGTCACAAGCTTCAAGATACTTGACTTCGTCATAATGTTCACTTACATTCTGTTTGAGCATTTGGACTATCCCATTTAACCATTGTGTTCCTAGAAATGAAGCAAGGCATACTGTTGTTCTTAAAAGTTTTACTGTTTTGTATTACTGAGAATCGTCATTGAGATGGTCGGGTATCAAAGTTTTATATGTTTGCAAATATACTGATGCTAATATTAAAAAAAATAAAAACAATAATCAGATATTATATATATTTGCGAAAATATGACACACACCGATAGGCTGTTTCGTTAGGATGAGTAGCTAGTAGGTCCTATTCTCGTTGATCTTGCTGTTGGACTTTCAGGACTGTACACTGAAAAGGGGTACCTCAAAACTAAATTACAAAGCAGACTATTGTTTCACTACAGCTTTAGGGCATGGCTCATAGTTTAAACAAAAACAAAATGATGGAGACAAAAATCTTAGACAAACAGTGCCATTGACTCAAGTTTGTTTGAAATGATGCAGGGATAGCAGGTAAATTGAGATAATCCGACAAAGCTAAAATATTTACGACTTAACGTAACATAACATCGAGCGAGAATTCAAGTGGTTTGGAGGAGAGTGGTTCAGAAACCATGTCAAACTAGCGAGTGTGGTACCGGTGAGACAATAGCATAAGCCTGCTTATTTATTTCACATTTTAGTTCAATGTGTTATATTTACATCCGATTTTCTACTTATCTAACTCTGCTTATTGATGTAATTTATGTAGAATTTATTTATTTTTCCACAGCAAATTTAAATATTGTAAACCGCTGGTCTTTCTCTCGTTTTCCCTCTCTTTATTATCACTAGCAAGTACGCAATGGCCAGGGAAGTAATAACGCTTATCAAATCAATGCTCTACATAGCAGATGTTGACCTGAATCTAGGGGACCATTCCCAGACCCCATCGTACTCACTGTGGATTGATCTATCTCAGAGGGGGTTCTCGCTAAATTGCAATCAACTTAAGCGGCTTAGATTTCTGTCAAGCCTTGAAGCTGCTAAGCGGTAATTAATTATCGTTACGCAGCTTCAGTAGGCGTGCCAGACAGCTAAGCCACTTGAATTGAATGCAATTCAGTGTGATTCCCCTTGGAGATGGATCGATCCTGTTAGATCGATCTAGCTATGGGAACCCAGTCTGGGCTCGCGTGAGGTTTTTTGTGGTCGCATAAACTTGTAGTCCCCTACCTTTAAAATCAGTAAATAATTAATAGCTAAATGTATACGCACACAGACATACACTCACGCTCCGTATACATGGTATGGTATCAATATTACTAATTTACTTATTGAAAAGCAACATTACCGCATTTAGGATATGTGCACAGCAGTATGTCGTCAGGTCTGAACTCCAGTGTCCCAATGGCGTTTAGCCGAGGGACTATACCGGGAAACGCGGGGAAATATACTCCTCCCCATTCTACCAAAGTCATGGCATCCCCATTAGCGTCTTCAACGCACACAGTAGTCATGTCTGCCGTTAAACGAATTACTGCTTACAAGTTCCAGTCACCTTCACGTTATCTCGCTATTTATAGATCTTTTTGGAGCGATAAAGGCTTATCACATGTCACTTGAACATACGAAAGACTGGCGGTACACCATCTAGCATAATACAATTTAAAAAACAAATACTAAATATGTTACAAACTGTGATTGAGAATCTAATAACTAAAAATCCAAATATACCAATATAGAACTAACTACTTTATTTTGATTGTTTAATTTCAGTAATTATAATAATGTATCTCTACAATTGAAGGAACATGTACTACTAGTACTAGTGTAATTGAAATGGAATATTAAGCAGAGCCAATGATAGCAAATTCCTTTATTGTTACCTTTTTGCACTTGCATTCTTTTGTTCCTCAATATACATTCTGGATAACTAATAAAACGTGTTCCCATAAAATCTCAACTAATTCCTTTGCATTTTAGGAATTTGGAATATTGAGAAACTACAGTAGCTCTTAAAGCAACTTCTGAAGAGCTAATACATGTAGCTGTGGCCTATTTTATTTTCAAATAAAACCTATTAAATTTTAGTTACTGGGAAGTTTTACTGACTTTACCAAGGCTGGCAAGTCGAACAATAACGTGTAAAAGATATCAACAGCATGTTTTCTATGGTCAGATGCAAAAAAAAAAAAAAAAAAACATGAGCCAGTAGCCTTACAGAAATGACAGCTAACGGTCAGAAGTGCATGCCACTTTCAATGTCCACTGAATATCTCAAAATGACTTAATTCTGGACAATTCAAGTGCTTTCAATTGTCTCAACAAATTTGGAACTAAACATTATTTATTCCTCATCAAGAATCCTGTAACCTAAAGCAGTCACTGGCTATTTTCCAACTGATAGCCTTGCTTTCATCAGTCTTGTGAACAGTCAACATAAAACTCTGGGTAAAAGTTCTGATAGGATTTCCATGAAATGTTACAGCTCCACATGTGGAAACTAGGATACTGGTCTGCCCTTGAGTTACGCTATCTGGAAGCCAATAAAAAACACAAATAAATATCACTGTGATAGTTAAAAGATCAGTGATGGCATTTCCGATCACACACACACACACACACACACACACACACACACACACACACATCACAGGCAACTTTTAAGAAAAAAGCTATCTACACCATCATTCTTCAACAATATCCATGAGACCATTTATCATCCAAACCTACTCTATGAAAATTTAATAATTGTGATTATACCTGGCAGAGGCTGGCAGTCTACTGATTCTAGGGACACCTCACTAGTAGGCAGGCTTTCCTGGAATTTGGCAATGGCATCCATCCCACTAACTGGGTTCCCCTGCCACACCATAGTAGCTGAGGGCAAGTACAGTTTAGGCAGCAACTGGAAGAAAGAAAATTGCACTCCAAGAGAAAATAGAAATTGAGAGATGAAAATAATGTATGATGAAGATATATGATAACTGTATAATATGCCCCGTAAAAGATGAAACCCACAATAAGGTTAGTTATGTAATTTGTAAAAAGAGTTATTTTGAGACAAATGTTCAGACTGGGCATGTGACACACTATCTTAATTTCCATTAATACACATACACACATACACACACACACACACACAAACACAGAGAGAGAGAGAGCTAAAGGTAATGAGGGCAAAACAAGGAAATACTGATACTACATTTAAATCCATTGCAAAAACACACATACCGTCCTTCTTTTGTCAAACGTTTCATAGTAGAGCTTGGCGAACTCCTGACCTGCTTGGCTGGCCTGATCTATCCGGAACTTTGGATCCTGAAAATTAAAACAACCACATGCTGTCAGGTATATCTGGTAAATATAAAGCTGAAAATCTACCAGCTAAATTTTTAATTTTTCAGCCAAAATTTAGAATATATTCTAATACTTTAAATGAATCCAGAAATAAAAGTAATGGGGCCCTTCTGTCCATTTTTTCACTACCCCATTACTTTTATTTCTGGATTCATGTAAAGCATAAAATATATTCTAAATTTTGGTTTTGTGTTTTTTGTTATGAGCTTCAAGTAATTATTTTAGTGCCTCTTTTAAAAATAAATTTGAATGAAATTTTCTTTATTTTGGAGTTATCAGCAGAATATACAATCTGAAACGTACGGAGTACCTAATATGCAACGTGTGTTATACATTTTGAGATGAGAGGGCATTGTGTTGGAGGTGGAGAGGGGAGAGGGGAGAGGGGAGGGAGTGGGACAGACAGGTAGAGGACGACTCCAGCAACTCACACAAAATGATTTGCTCTAGTCACTCACATGTACTGTATGCATGAACATGTCAATATACAGTGCTTCTTCTTTAACAACAAGCACAACATAAAAAGTACATAAAAAGTGTGTTTAACCATGCCCCCCCTTGCTTCAACAACATTTCCCTCGTAGTCTCCTTTTCCAAGTCATTCAATGATCTACTGGAAACGTTATCTTGAATCAAATTACATAAATTGGTCCTGTGGCAAGATGCACGAGTTTAACTTCCTCTTATAGATATGGATATAGCAAATAATTGATCGAAGTAAGTCAGAGTAATGGGTTATTCACAAAGACGTGCTCACCTGCAAATCGGTCGCCATTTTGCCGACGTCACGTGACGATGCTGGCGGAATCCCCACGTGTTGCTAAATATAGACCTCCTTGAACAGCTTCGAAGCACACCAGGCATGGTTGAATTAGAATCTCCGGATTGTTAACAATAAAGGCGAAAGGTGTAAATGCAGTCAACTTCACTCGTGTAGCTGTGATGCATTTTAAGACCTTTTTTTGCGCAAACTAAACCGATATTTTTTTAAGTAAAAAAAAAAAGAAAGTTCGGTAGTAAGGTGTTGCCTTTCAAAGTATTTTCCAGTTTTCTAAAATTTAGACTAGAAATGGGACAATTTGTTTTGTGAATAAAAAAATAATTCGCTCAAAATAGCAAGAAAAAACTTCAAACATATTTATTTAATATCCTGGTTACAAAATGCTATCAAATGATATACTGTTGTAGAATGTATAGCATCTTGAAAACTCATTTCTCCTTTGCTTCTACTAATAAATAAGTTCTGGAATAAATTTAAATTGAAAATGTATATTAAATATCTCACTACTAACAGGAAGACATCAACAGTATCTTTTCAGAGTCGACAATCTCAGGCCTTTTCTGGATGCCAAATTACTGGTCCTTGCTTTGTTCTATCCCGAAGATTTTTGATCAAGGAAATGCTTATTCTGCATACTGTATTTTTCCTTCGCCCCATTTCCTTGACCAAAAATTAACTGTATTCTTTAACAAAGTAAAATTTCAAACACATACAAACACTTCAGTTTTGTTCACTTTTGCACATTACTATAATTGCACTATACAAAGATAATGACTGCAAATACTGGTAAGATTACTAAAATGCATAATCATCAAATCTTTGTTAATACAACTTTTTTTCTAAGAGCACTTGAAAATGCATTCTTAAATGTTCAGTGCTTACAAAATACATCAGACTTTTTTTTGTAATCTATATTTTATAAACAAAAATACTTTGCTGATATCTATACAGTTATACTGTAAACACAATACCAGACCCACCCATGTTCATGCCTTGTCTACTACATGTAGTCTACAGTAGACTAAGTACATGTATTTTCATTACTGACATTTGAAAGTAAAAATTGCAAAGATTAAAAGAAAAAACTAAATCATGTTGTACAAATATAAATGACACAGATATGCATACCATAGCAATAATCTATTTTGCATGAGCATTGGGATTCTAGATAAGTTGTTAAATTTTTATAACTATTTTGTTTGAAAAAATCTGTAAAATTACCTGATTATCTGGTAAATGAATTAATGACAAATTAAAAAATATCTCCAAATGAGACAGCAGTATTAATTTCACAAGAGATCATACATATTATAGGCATCTTAACTTAGTCTACTAAAAAGTAACAGTAAGAGAAATCACAGGTGGGAGAATTTTAAGTTGCAACTTTTACTGTATGAAAACAAATACAATGTCTCTGATTTAGACAACAGACTGGTGTAAAAACGTTCAACTGATTACAACTTTAATATTGATTTGCAACACAGCAGCATCCTATCCTTGAATTACAGCAGTGAAAACTTGTCACCAATCCACACTGCCTTCTTTTGGGTCAAATACCTTTGACTATCACAGCATCAATATCTCAATATCAAATATGAGATGGAAGGATATCCTTGTTCTGATGCGATTTTTGAATGATATACTGTGTGTTAACTGAGCAATAAACAAATTTTTTTCACATTTTTTTCTTTTCACTGTTTTTCTCTTATAAACTACTAACAGTTGAAACTGTACAATTTTTTGTGCCAATAAAGCCATATATTAACAAGTATCTGCATCACCAATGTCACATCTGAGTGCTGTGTCCATTGTTGTATGTGTTCTCTCGAGAACCAACTGCTCCATAATCTGATCTGTCATCTGTGTTAACACTATGGAGAAGCTGGTCATCCTAGGGCAGCGAAAAAAGTCAATGTTAACAGATGGAATATCTAAAATGTGTCATTATCTTTGAGAATGTTACTACTGTTGTTACTCCTTGGACAGAGATAAAAAGTCAATGTTAACACATGAAATATCTAAAATGTGTCAATATTTCTGGGTGACTACAATTACTGATTATTTTTTTTACAAAACATCCATTGGCTTACTGCTTAAAACCTGCCTGTCTTCAGTCTAACAAACAACGTAGAAATCTATCAAAATCGATTACCATTTTTCTTTACACCACAATGAGCCAGTGAGAAAAATACAAACAATGTACATGCATATAAATGGATTTTTGAGTTTGAGTAATTCATGGGTTAAGGTTGTAAAAAATTGAAAATACTGAAAATGTAGTTTGCAATTTCTCATCGCATATAGGTTATATGAAAAAAGGTTAAAATGAAGACTGAAAAGCCTAAAATCAGGCGTAATCCTAAATATGCTGCAAATCAGTAGTTTCCTCCCATTGTGAAATCTTACCCGCTGTCTCTGACACCTAAAGATAGCGATGCATATCACCACTAGGACCATAATGGACCCTATAGCTATAAATGCATATTCCCCACCTTGGGATACTTTTATCACTGTTAACAGCTGACTTTTTAGCTCATCTGCTGTAGATTCTTCAACTAAGGCACTCTAGGAGAATTAAAAAACCAACTGGTAAATATTTAATGAAGCACGTGAATTTCTAAAATAAGATGTGAAGAAAAAACGATATTCAGGATAAAAAGACTCTTTAATATGAAACTCAGCATTTGCTATGAAAACAAATCTGATGATGTGTGTTCAACTTTACTACTACACAATCTAGATGGGTTGGGCAATGATTTATAAGTAGGAGGAATTAATTCATTTAAAGAAAAATGTAATTTGGTAGAAAAATCCCAGATGGGATTCATTTAAAAAATTAAAGAAATAGTGCAAAGCATCAATCCCACAGCAAGGATAAAAGAAGTTTTTTCCACAAAAAAATAAGATATGGCTTAAAGTCCCTTCAAGGATACTTTTAACCTTGCAAGATACAGTATGAACAGTTACTAAATTATTAATTTAAAAGAGTAACAATTTGAAAATATTTCATTTTATCTATTGCCAACTTTCATAATCTTTCATATAATTGATGAGAACTAACCTCATTTAACCACATGACTGGGAATGGTAGAAAATCAGGCAAGTGATCTGTTTCCCTGAAAATATGAAATAAACAATTTGCATAATCCCCTTATCATAGATGTGTTTACAGTTGAAAGAGTCATGCAAACGCACTAAAAATTTGTTCTGTTGAAGAATAATTATTTAACTGCATCACAACACATTATCTGTCTTTACAGAGACATTCATGTATTCTGATGGTATTAGAAACTAAAAAGATGAACTGAACTTACGTAAACCTTGATATTTTTTGTAGCCATATGTTAACCTGAAGTCGCTTTGAAGCACGCAACAGTGCACCAGTGTACTAAAATAAATACAACAGTGATGGATTGTTACTCTGATCTTTTTCATTATTATCTGGAAGTAATAACAGGTACTGATGGTAAGCTTATTTGTGTGGAAGTATTCAGTATAATATTTGTGTGGAAATAATGAAAGGTACTGTTGCAAATAATTATATTTAAAATAATAATAATAATAATAATTTATAATAATTGAAACTTACAGGCTCTACATCAAGGAATGTTTGATGGACGTCTTTGGTCGGATGTAAACCGTCGAATGCATCGACAAGAGACTGGTCACCTTGGTAAAAATGAGGTAGTGATACAATGGCAGGCTGGCCTGAAAAGGGAAGGTGAATTCTGAGTGGTGAATCAGGACTGTTTATTTACATGATGACATCAGAAGTCATAAATACAAACCAGTTAGGTCAACCCTTCTTTGTATGACTCTTGCTAAGTCAATAATGAGGGCTGCCCATTTAAATTCAGTGTGCATCAAAAAAAGTCCTTTCATTTTTCCTACCCACCAACATCTTTTTAGAAAACAAAAAATGCCAGTTCTCTGCAAATATGGCACTATAGTATTCATTATGACAATCCATAATTATTATGGTAACATGTTTCAGTAAGGATCGAGGGAAGTTAGCTATTACAGATCAGAAATCAAACCAGTCAGCACCAACAGATAAACTGGTTGATCAACCAGCGATACAAGTGCGCAAAATGCAATGGAGCATCATTGAAGTCTAATCATCACATAGCAACCCTAATTTCTGATTTCACAGAAGTCGTTAGTAGTCTGATCAGACAAGATTCAATCTGCACTTCTGGGATGTTTAGCTTTCAAGTTAATAGAGTCTTTTCCACGAAATCGTGAGCATGCGCAGTTCGCGCCATTTTGTGCGGGACTGTTTCCCAGGGGGAAAGAGTAGAAGGGGCCTTCGGTANATTACAGGTGGGGGAATTGTAAGTTGCAACTTTTACTGTATGAAAACAAATACAATGTCTCTGATTTAGACAACAGACTGGTGTAAAAATATTCAACTGATTACAACTTTAATATTGATTTGCAACACAGCAGCATCCTATCCTTGAATTACAGCAGTGAAAACTTGTCACCAGTCCACACTGCCTACTTTTGAGTCAAATACCTTCGACTATCACAGCATCAATATCTCAATATCAAATATGAGATGGAAGGATATCCTTGTTCTGATGCGATTTTTGAATGATATACTGTATGTTAACTGAGCAATAAACAAAATATTGTTCCATTTCATTTTTTTTCACATCTTTTTCTTTTCACTCTTTTTCTCTAATAAACTACTAACAGTTGAAACTGTACAATTTTTTGTGCCAATAAAGCCATATATTAACAAGTATCTGCATCACCAATGTCACATCTGAGTGCTGTGTCCATTGTTGTATGTGTTCTCTCGAGAACCAACTGCTCCATAATCTGACCTGTCATCTGTGTTAACACTATGGAGAAGCTGGTCATCCTAGGGCAGCGAAAAAAGTCAATGTTAACAGATGGAATATCTAAAATGTGTCATTATCTTTGAGAATGTTACTACTATTGTTACTCCTTGGACAGAGATAAAAAGTCAATGTTAACACATGAAATATCTAAAATGTGTCAATATTTCTGGGTGACTACAATTACTGATTATTTTTTTTTACAAAACATCCATTGGCTTACTGCTTTAAACCTGCCTGTCTTCAGTTTAACAAACAATGTAGAAATCTATCAAAATCGCTAACCATTTTTCTTTACACCACAATGAGCCAGTGAGAAAAATACAAACAATGTACATGCATATAAATGGATTTTTGAGTTTGAGTAATTCATGGGTTAAGGTTGTAAAAAATTGAAAATACTGAAAATGTAGTTTGCAATTTCTCATCACATATAGGTTATATGAAAAAAGGTTAAAATGAAGACTGAAAAGCCTGAAATCAGGCATAATCCTAAATATGCTGCAAATCAGTAGTTTCCTCCCATTGTGAAATCTTACCCGCTGTCTCTGACACCTAAAGATAGCGATGCATATCACCACTAGGACCATAATGGACCCTATAGCTATAACTGCATATTCCCCACCTTGGGACACTTTTATCACTGTTAACAGCTGACTTTTTAGCTCATCTGCTGTAGATTCTTCAACTAAGGCACTCTAGAAGAATTAAAAAACCAACTGGTAAATATTTAATGAAGCATGTGGATTTCTAAAATAAGATGTGAAGAAAAAACGATATTCAGGATAAAAAGACTCTTTAATATGAAACTCAGCATTTGCTATGAAAACAAATCTGACAATGTGTGTCCAAGATATGAACAGTTACTAAAATTATTATTTTCAAAGAGTAACTGTTTAAAAATATTTCAACTAATCAATTGCCAACAACAACATTCATAATCTTTAAGATATGGCTGAAAGTCTCTTAAAGGATACTTTTAATCTTGTAAGATATGAACAGTAACTAAAATTATTATTTTCAAAGAGTAACTGTTTAAATATATTTCAACTAATCAATTGCCAACAACAACATTCATAATCTTTAATGTAATTGATGAGAACTAACCTCATTCAACCACATTACTGGGAATGGTAGAAAATCAGGCAGGTGATCTGTTTCCCTAAAAATATGAAATAAACAATTTGCATAATTCACTTTTCTATTTTGTATACTATGTGTTTACGGTTGAAAAAGTCATGCAAATGTAGTTAAGATTTTGTTATGTTGAAAAAAATATTTAACTGCATCCAACACATTATCTGTCTTTACAGAGACATTCATGTATTCTGGTGGTATCAGAAACTGAAAAGATGAATTGAACTTACGTAAACCTTGATATTTTTTGTAGCCATATGTTAACCTGAAGTCGCTTTGAAGCACGCAACAGTGCACCAGTGTACTAAAATAAATACAACAATTACTTACTTACAGTGATGGATTGTTACCCTTTTTCATTACAATCTGGAAGTAATGCCAGATACTGATAGTAAGCTTTATGTGTGCTTAATCACTATTTAAAATAATAATAATAATTTATAATAATTAAAACTTACAGGCTCTACATCAAGGAATGTTTGATGGACGTCTTTGGTCGGATGTAAGCCGTCGAATGCATCGACAAGAGACTGGTCACCTTGGTAAAAATGAGGTAGTGATACAATGGCAGGCTGGCCTGAAAAGGGAAGGTGAATTTTGAGAAGGTGAATCAGGACTGTTTATTCACGTGAAGACATCAGATGAAATGAAGAGAAGTCATATTTACAAACTTTGTATCACTCTTGTTAACTCAATAATGAGGGCTGCCCGGTTAAATTTAGTGTGCACCAAAAGAAATCCTTTTGCTTTTTCCTACCCACCAACTTCTTTTTAGAAGACAAAAGAAATACCAGCTCTCTGCAAATATGGCACGAGTACATCATGACAATCCATAATTATTATGGTAATATGTTTCAGTAAGGATCGAGGGAAGTTAGCTATTACAGAACAGAAATCAAACCAGTCAGCACCATGCATCAAATAAACTGGTTGAACAACCAGCGATGCAAGTGCCTGAAATGCAACAGAGCATCACAGAAGTCTGAACACCTCATCACAACACAAATTTCTGTTTTCACAGAAGTCTTTAGTAGTCACCCTGAGCTTCAGAGATAACTTGACACTAACCTCTTCACAACAGCCTATCTTCATCGTGTCAAGTTACCTCTGACGAAAATAGTTTGACCTAGTTTATATAAGCCAATCGAATCCAAGTTTCAAAATTTTTCACCAAACTTTGGTGAAAACGCTGATTGGTTGACCGTCAATCGGTAATCCTCGGCTGATTCCGCAAGCTCCATACTAACAACAAAGTTATTGTCGAGTGCGGAGACATCCGAGTAGTTCCGAGTGCATAACCGTACACAAAGAAAGCATGGCGTCTCCTACGAGTGACTACGTAAAATAATGTGTTAAGTTATCTCTTGATTCTTTGCAAAATATGAGTATATCGGAATTGAAACCAGAGCAGTTTGAGGCCCTGCATCATTATCTACTGAGGGATGATGTATTTTGCGTGCTGACCACAGGTTACGGCAAGTCCCTGATATTGAGCCTTATCTCTGATTGGTCCGGATTTCAACAAAGCGCGCTTTGACTCGTTCGCGTTCATTGGCTAGATCGTTCAATGAGTCATTGAGTGCGGGCTTTAAATTTGATTGGCGGGCGGCGGGGGCAATCTAATGTGGTCAGAGGTAACTTGACACGATGAAGATAGGCTATTGTGAAGAGGTTAGTGTCAAGTTATCTCTGAAGCTCAGGGTGTTAGTAGTCTGATCAGACAAGA